TTGCAAATTCAATCACTGACTACAATGAGGTGGATAATTAACAAAAGAAGCCTCATGTTTGGATTAAACAACAGATATACAAGGTGACAAGGATCATTTATTGTCATTTTACAACACAGAGTTGTACAACGAAATGCAGTTACAGTATACTAATTCAAATATTTGTATGGTGGTGTGCAGAGAAGGAGTTTACAGCTCTGGGAAAGCAGCTGTTCGGTAGTCCGCGGTACAACGATACTTGTGTATTGGGTGCCAAATGGCAGCAGGGGGAAGAGACTGTGGCTTGGCTGGCCTTTGTCCTTTATTATCTTTTGCCTCTTCGCAGGCACCTCTTCTCACCAGATGGGTAACAATGATGTGTTGGGCTATCCAGAGCCCTCCTGTCCTGGGCAGGATTGTTGATTTCCTCTCAAAATGAAATCTAGTTGTTGGTTAAAATCCAGTAAAAGTGACAGGTGTTACATTTGCAAATCAGATTCGGGGAGATTTTCAAGTGAATAAAGAGCTGGAATCAACAAAGAGCCTTCTCATGTAGGTTTTTTTTTTTTTCAATCATCATCTGTGGATTTATTGGCTCTGTATGTCTGCAGTCTGGTGAAGGTCCAGGCTGGCTGGGATGGTCTTTTTAATGTGCTGCAGAACTAGTCTCTCATAGCACCACAATGGGGGAGCATCACATGGCGGTAGCGGTGCTAATAAAAGCCACATGTGACTCCCAAAACAGATGAATTGATACACTGCGATTTTTATACGAAGATAAACAAAATCAAAGTTGTTTTAGAGAAGCAGATACATGATTTGATAGGCCTCTTGGCTGACTGTCCCTGTTTCCTTTCTCTCTGGTTAGCTAAGTTAGCTAGTTGCGAGCTGTATCTTTGTAATAATGTCTAATGTGAACAGTGCAACAGTTAACATTCCTCCTGTTTGTGCTGTGGGTGAAGTCATGCTGCTGTAGTTAGATATAGGAGGGCTCTGACGCGTCCTCCGCAGCGCCCTTTAGCACCCTCCAGGGAGCTCCCTTTGAGTCTCTTCCTCACCCCAGTGAGAACAGGAACTGAAAGCTCCCCTTCACTTCATTGGGCAAAATGACAACCAATGACAACAAGGACTGTCCTATTTGATGCAGGGCAGACTCCAAATCCTTTTTTTCCTAATGTTGCCAGCTGTTGGCCGTGCTCTCCTGTAACTTCAAAGAGAGGGGAGATGGCAAGACACGGATAGTGTGGTGGAGAAGTGTGGATATCAGGAGGGACAAGGGGGGAGAAACAACACCATGTCCCTCTTATTTTCTCATAAAACACAGCAGACATTGACTGCAGTGTGTACGTGAGGGACTGACGTCAATAATGCACACATGATATAATGTCCGTGGCCAAACCAGTTGGAAACGCATCAGTTAACATGGATTCACAGGAGATTTCTGACCTTTGTATGCCCCTCCTCTAGCAGTGATTAGTTTTACAATCAGCGGATGCAAATTGCAGTTAACTGACAGCCCATCAATCACATCATGGCTGCAATATGTAGAACGTCTCGACACGTGCCAGTAGACATATGGTCAATTTGCTCTCAGACGCTCGGATATTTCTTTGCACCACAGGTATACTGTATGGGAGGCATTAGGAACATTCGATGTTCATCTACCCTGAAGTCGAGGTACGGGATGAGTCATTTGTCTCAGGAGCCATCGAACAACTTTAATCCATCTTATGTTGTCCAACAGGAAATCAAGTGTAAAGTATAATATGTGACATTTTTTTAATATAACAATAATTGAATGTATTCCATTAACATTAAGATACATTTATAGTTTGCTCATATACAACATGCACTAGTTTAAAATGGTCCACATATATATAATTAGTAAGTTGCATAGAGCATTAATGTAAAACTAATGAACTCTCTCCCAGATGTTTCCCAGCTGTGACAGAAGATGAAGCCTTTCACCAGTAACTGAGGTCTACTATTAAACATCCCACTGCCAACTATGGTGTGTTATCAAGTGAAGCAGTGGGCGGTTGTGTGTTTGAGCATGGCAGCAACCAGGCTGTTGTGAACTCCAGAGCATAGAAAAGATAAGTGGTGTATAGAGGTGTAAGAGTCAGAAAAATAAAAGAGTAAAAAAACGGCATAGCAGAAAACATAGTTAATTAGTAGGAAGTCCTTGTTTTATCTGCACAAATGCAGTAATTGCACACAGAAGCCTTGGTTTACTGAGTTCATTGTGTTTAGCAGTCTGGAGAGGTACTGTTGAAGCTGTTTCTCTCTCACCAAATCATTCCCCTGTACTCAATACAAAAAGAGAGGGATTAATTTGTATGGCCGCCAGCTATAAAGCGTCCAAATCGGCACAGTGAGTTGTCATCACACGTCCCGGGGGTGTCTCTCTTTGGTGTAGCTCAAAACAGATCACACTGCAATTTCTCTTGCAGTTATGTGCCTGCATTTATTTAATGCTATCTGAGGGGGTAACTTAATTTGTGGGTGGCCGTGGAAACTCATATCTTTGATTGAAGAAGTAGTCAGCGGCGGTGGTAAAGTTCAGTCATTTAATATTCTGATCAGTCCCACAGAGGAGCCTGGCTGTTGCCATCTAATGGCAGTACAGAGCAGAAGGGAAGAAAGTGTGGTCATTATTTTTAAGGAGCTGTTCCAGTCTGACAGCTGTGAAGTAAACTGGGAACCCCCTCTGCTGGATCTCTAGAGAAATACTGTTGTAATTTCCCTTATGTTTGTTTTTAGAATAGAGTGTGCTGGGTGGCTTCTTATCTCATATGAAAAGTCAAAAAAGTATTTTATACCTTAGCTTCATCTAAAGTAGCCAGATTATAGTCACCTGAGAGAAATGAAAAGAGATATATAGTTTCCTCTACAATCACAAACAAATCATTTGATGATTCATAACCTGTCCAATAAAGACGATTGGTGGTTTATGGCACAATTAGGCAGAAGCAGAGAAGGCTGGCCATGACATGCATCATAATTAGTGACAGCGGTCTTTTAATGACAATGTTTAATATCCCTGAGAAGTAGCAGAAGATATGTAGTTGTACGCGCTGTAAAACACCAATGAGGATGGGCAATGCTCCCACTGTTATACATATAGCCTACATTAGGGCTGCACGATTTGGGGAAGTAATCTAATTGCGATTTTTCTGACAGATATTGCGATTCGATTTGCGATATTTGTTTTTAAGCGACCCAACGGAAGTTTATTGTAAAATGCGGCCATATCTCCGGCTAGGAAGGTCGTATCAACGTGCTCCCGTCTCTAGCACCCCCGCAGCCCGAGCTACGAGTGAAAGAACTAAACTTACATGAAACTTCCGTTGGGTTGCTTTAAAGTCAAGCTTCAGTTTAAGATTCACCCTGTAATAGATGTAAAACATGTGATGGAGCATCACTAACCTGACCCAAACCATCTAGGAAAGCTCCATTGGAAGCCATTTGGAAAAGGGCAGGCACTTTCAAGAATATATGACAGGTGATTGGATCAATCTGTCAATCACCTTATATCATGGGCCACTTCTGATTGGTTAACAATGGCTGGTACATGTAGAGCACAGCACTTCTGATTGGTGTGGATGACACACAAGAAAAATTGATAATCGCATCATTTCAAATCGTGATTTCGATTCAAAATCGATTAATCGTTCAGCCCTAGCCTACATACATATTTCTTAGACTGTTATCTTTCATCATGTATTATCTGGTCATATTCTGTGTCCTATGGGTGTCTTGAAAGGCACTTATAAATACAGTTTATTGAATATAATATTCATAACCTTTATTAGTGCACAATCACCTGAACTAAGAACTGTTGATTTTGTTACCTTAGAATGAGCCTTTGTGTGTACATACTGTAGATGTCAGGTCCACTCTGTTGCACCACCATGTTTGTAAAGAAGCTTTAACGGCAGAACACTGTTTCTGGAGGGGGTTTTTAAGTAACCTGAAAGCCATCGTACTTTACCAACACTCTTGTGAAACTGTCTTAATCCCAGCTGGTGCCTGCCAGTTGAATTTCATTGCATTACTAAAGTTATGGTGAGGTTGGCCTCTGGTTGAGGGGAAGGTCCTGCATTGCATTACTGCAGTGTTGCACTTGGTGGCTCGTAACCGCTGTCTTGTAAAGGGAGGGGTGAGCAAAGTAGTATTTAGTTGGCAGCAACCTGCAACCACAATGCTAGATGGCGCACAACCTCACACACCCCTCCCTTGTGGAAAGAGCAGATGAATCCATCACAGTAACGATGCTTGGATAATAATACAATTACTAATAAATGTATCTATATATTTGTATCTAGAGCCACCATAATGCTAGGACGTTTCCACATGAGAAAACAATTCTTAATAATATCAATCATTATAATACAACGTGTTTGCTCCTCAAACAGTGTGTGAGAACTTACTTGCAACTTTTAAACTTGTAAAACTTCTCCTACGCACCTCTGTCATGAAATAAATCTCTGATAAGTCATTTGGCTTTGTGAGCTTTCAATTCATTCAATTATGTGTTTCAGTTTCTCAGAGTGACCACTTATGATTATCAATGGACTCAGGTCAAATAGTTTGGATGCTGTACCTCATAATAGTAATAACAATAATCTAAATAATAATATCAGTTTCAATATTATTGAATCAATTACATATCATTTCCAAGTTTACAATAAATAAATACTTGCACATTCATTTTTAAGTATTGCTCTTGTATTTACTTCAAATGTTGATATCAAGTTCAATTGTATGGTCCAATACTGATCTTGCCTACTTTAATTAGAATAAAACCAGATGTTTATGATATCTAGATCCTCACATTATCTGTTGGAATATTAATTATGAAGCAGTTCTTTTGAAAAGTATTGCCCTCAGTCTCATGCTGTAACATTTTAGGTGAACAGCAGATGGCACCAGCAATACCAACACGCCTTTTAGAGTCCCTCCAGCAGAAATCCAGGAAGAGGAAGAAGGAGGAGGAAGAAGAAGAAGGGGTGTTATTATAAAAGGGTGTGTTGATACTGAGTTGGAGACAACTTCAAGACACAGTTTCATAAGTTGTGAGCTGACAACCGGACCAGGTTAACTACATTATTCAGGTTAGTCGCTTAACTTTGTTCTCAGTTTTCAGAAATGTCAAGTATTTAAAGGTTTTATGCTATACAGCTGTTAGTTAACTAAAGTATTGTATTTCATTAAAGTCACTGTTGTTTACTCTGATCCTTGATTTTTTTTTCTCATTGCACCAGCTGGCTGTCAGGCGGACTCAGTTTTCCTCAAGTCCTCAGTCTGGTGAATGGAGATGGATCAGTGCAGCAGCAAAAGCAGAGTGACTGTGTTTCAGTACTTGTTTGGGAGTTGGGCCACCCTGCTGAGCCGCTTTTATGATGACCCCAAGGTAAGACAACACTTAACACCTACATCTGTCAAAAAGAACGTTCTTTATTCTTTATGTTTGCTTTTCCGTCAGCAAATCCCAGGGGTCTGTGTTCATTTCCAGCTGAGTGAAAATGACAGCTGCATTTTGCTTTCATCTTTTTCCCAGGTAGCACATCTGATGAAAACAAAGATCGGGCAGTACCTGAGCAGCCACCCTTTCTTTGCTCTCACGGTGATGCTGTTTGGTGCCATGTCTGCAATTCCCGTGGGAATGTTCCTCTCTTTTGCTCTTGTGACCATTATCATGTCTGCAGTTGGTTTGGTTTTCTTTGAAGGTATGTCTGATCATGTCAATTACTTTTTTATGCAAGCTATAACTGTACTAATCTGACAGTACTTTTTATTAACCAAACTCAACTTATTTCTCTCTTTGTCAGCGTTCCTGTTGTTTGTAGGAGGGACGACTCTGCTTGCTGTGCTCTCTGGCATCGCCCTCTTCTCTGTCATGGTTTCATTCATCGTTAATGCGCTTTATTTCACCATCTCCAACATCCCCAGCCGCTATAACCCAAATCTGACAAAGGTAATGTACTGATGTGTGGGGTGTGTTTTGAACAAAAGAAGAACAAACACAACATTTTATTATATCACCATTTCATCCATAATTGGCCTTTTTCTTGGTAAGTTTGGTCTTAAAGATGAAATACAGCAGCCTACACAACCTGTTGAGCATTTCATTCAAAGCTTTATGCAACGCTTCTGTTAAATGTGGTTGTGGTGATACAATACAATCATTTCAGTTTCGTAATCCTATCTTCTAAAATTCCCATTTAAGTGTCCTGACATTTATATTATTATCTGTGAAATTGTTCCCACGGTGTATTTATTCTCTCTTGTCCTTTATTCCTATCAGCAACATGATATCCAGGAGAAGGAGAGTGAGGGTGAAACTTCAAAAACGAAGGAAATGTAAAAGCCTGATTATTGTTCTCTCTCAATTGTCAACTGTATGTGGAAAGGTTTAAAATTGCTTTGTGAACTGGCACCATAAATGAGCACTACTGAAGCTTGGTGGTTTGGATTGAGACCCTTGAATGTACTGTATGTAACAGATTGTGTAAGCACAAAGACTCCCTGATGGTTACTGTAAGTCTAAACCCTAAAGATTATTAGTACATTGTACTATGTGTCATTATCTCTATGTTTACATGTTATATAAGTATAACATATCACAGCCAAACTATGTAATAACTAATATTGCTTTATTAGTCCTAATACACACAGAATATTTATTGAGTTTTAGAAATGATTGTGTATGTAATGTATGTCTGCAGCTATCTGATGCACATGCCTGTTACTTGTTTGCTGTTACCTTTAAAAGAGCTCGATGTTGCACATTTGTGATGAAGCTTTGAATAAATGCACATCATGATAAACAAGTGTGTTCTTCTTCTGACAATTCTTGGCTTTAAAATATGATTCAAGATTCAAAGATTCAAAGGTTTATTGTCATAACAGATACACAACTACGGTGTTGTTATGTAATGTATGAAAAACTTAGATTGCCGGTTCCTCAACAGTGAAATTACATGGAGACATAAATAATTAACTTAACTTAAAGGTGGGGTAGGTAAGTTTGGAGAAACCAGCTCGAGATCGCTAGAATTTGAAAATACACAGCCGGAGAAAATCTGCCACTTCCTTACAGAGCCCCTCCTCCAACACACACGAACGAGCACATGACCAATGAGGGCACGAGATAAGTTTGTGCACAGATGGAAGACTGACAGGCAGGTAGGCCATCCAGTTATTTTAGCCGGGCCGGCTAAAATGATTGGTCGTGCTTTTTACAGTACTACAGCTTCCACAGATGACATTTTTTTAAGGATTTTTTGTCAAAGCACTTAAAATATTCATTGCTATCGGGATGTTAAGAGCATTCCATGGAATATAACAAAAAGTGTATCTCGAGCCGGTTTCTCAAACGTACCTACCCCACCTTTAATGGATTTAAAACAATGTATTATTGGCGATAGATGATCTGCTGAAAATAAAGTCTGGTGTACGGCACACAACAATTGTTTCTGAATTTATTTATGGATGTCATTTTTCTTAATGAGAGAATATCCTGATGTATTACAAGGAACTTTATGAAACGTCATATTTTAGTATTTCTCACCCTTACACCTGCCACATTTTCAAATATATAGTATGATGTGCTTACATTAAAGGGCACTACTACTGGCCCAAAACTCAATAGTGTAAGTGTGCTTATAATCTTAGCTTGAATGATTTTAAGAAGTCAAACAGCGACACTGGAAGGTGATTCTCAGAAGATCTTTAATGGAGGTGATATCATGCACAAAAAAAAAATTAACAGAAGACAAAGTTGTGAATTACTCATTTGAAAAGTTAAACAAGAGGCGTTTTTATAGAAATGCACCCATTGAACACAGTGATCCCCCTACTCGACAACAGACCAACATCTGTTCATTTGTTCACTCTCCAGACCGTTAACAATTGAAATGTCACAACCAGTCAAAGGGCTGAAAGATTCTCAGTCAATTATCATTATTCAGCTATATTCCTTATTGCTTTGCTCTTGACTTCATTGATTACGACCTTGAGAAAAACGACAAGTCACTGTTGGAAGGTGTTCAAGAGTTTGTTTCTGGGTGCAATGCTGGCAGAAACTAAATGTGTGCTCTATCCACATCCAAAATGTGATGTAGCATTGTTTAATTTATATTAAAGCTGAAGAACAATTGATGCATTTTGAAGCTGAAGAAAGAAGATCAATAAACACACGAATGATTTAATTCCAAAATAGCCATCATTCAAAAATACTGACATGTTTGTCCCAAAGACTGCTGGCACTAAGTTTTATATTTCATTGGTTACCTAAACTTAAGTTGAAACTATAAATCATGTAATGTTAACCGGTTACAAAATGTTTCAGATTTAAAGACAATTGTTAAAACAGAGTTTTATGCAATTTTAGAAATCAATGTTTTTACAAAATGCAAGTTTGTGTTTGTGGCGAAACTGTTGCTGTTGGCCTCTTAAATATTTCCATGAGAAGATACACGTATTATAGTATATGCAGACAAAGAAAATCCAAAAGTAAAAAAAGAAAAAGATGTGAGAAAGTGGACATAATCCTCATCAGGCACTCCGATACATTACCTCTTCATCTCACTCTTTAATAAGACTGTACATTTGTGCATTTCATTACCAATTCAAACAAGGTACTTTTCAGAGTCGACCCTATTTGTGACATTATAAAACAAAATAAAAAACAAGCGTATACACCTCACATGTAGAAAAAAAAAAAGCCTTTTCTCCTAATTGAACAGCAATGAAAATAAGTATAAGGCAAGATGCTGAACACAGAAATCCAAACGTTGACTGGGTATGATTTTTGTTCAGCTCCGCTGTTTGTTGGCATTTACCCTATCAGCAATCATCAAGAAGACTAGTGTTTTCCCCCCAAATAGTTGGCTCTTTGTCTCAGGCATTTTTCGCTGTAGGTCATGAGATGACATGATGTCATCTCCACACCCCCCTGAGTCTGCTGGGAGTCTCCATCTCCTTCCTTACGTTTTATGCCGGCAGGCTCAGCTTCTTGCCTTTCAGTACTGGGGGACGAGAGAGAAAGAAACCATCAGTGCCAGTGGTTGTTCATGCTGCCATAGCTAATCAAGTTTACATTTCTAAGAAGCTTTCAAATGGGAGTTCATCGATTTGTGTTCAGAAGTGACCACAAGTGGTTGTAATCCAAAAGCCCTTTTGAAGCAGCTATTTCCACGAGGCTGACCACAAAATGATTAAACTAGAAACTAAAAAGAACCTTGTGAACTCATCCCTGTAACCGTGTCCAACCCATCTGAAGAACTGAGAAAAATATTATAACATATTTTAAATAAAAGAATGGCTTGTGTGAGACCAAATATTCATACAGATAATAAAACACAGACAGCTGTCCTCCCTAATTTACCGCTGTGTTGTAACTTTCGTTTTTTTTACATAAACTCGTTTATACATAACATTTCTGGGCCATCTGAATGTACTAACTAAATACTTTTTTGGGGATCAGGCGGGACATTTCCGTAGAAACTAGTGGAATACTTAAAGTTTCCCCTGAGCCCAGCTAAGGAGGCCCACCCCCCACTTTGATAAAACCCAAATGTAGAGGATGTACTTCCTGTGGCAGCTAAAAAAGTTTAACTTGACAAAGTCAATGATGGGGCACTTCTAGACTGCCATCAAGTCCATCCTAACCCTCTCCATCACCATCTGGTATGCTGCTGCCACAGTGAAGGGCAGACTGCAGCACATCACCGCTCTGTGAGACAGTGATTGGTTCAATCTGCTGTCCCTCAGCAACCTGAGACAGGCGGGAAGGATTGTGTCGGACCTCTCCAAGCCCAGACAAAAACCTTGAACCTTGTACATCATCTCTTCACTTTGAATATTTGAACATCTTGAAAAAGGTTCTATACAGCCCCCCTTTCTAAAAATGTTTTACTGCAATTTATCATTTAATCTGGTTTACTTTGCCTGTGTTTTTAATTCCTCTACAGAAGTTATTTTATGTAGAGTATGCACCATCACAAAGGCACATTCCTTGTAAGTGAAAACGTATTTAAGTTAATAAACCTTATTGATATTCTGGTGTTGGCTCTCAGAAAACTACTGTTTTGAAGCTACTGTAAGGAAAGAAATGGCTAAAGTAACTGAAACACAAAGAAATGGCTAAAGTAACTGAAACACAAAGAAATGGCTAAAGTAACTGAAACACAAAGAAATGGCTAAAGTAACTGAAACACTGTCCAAGTTTTCTGAATTGTATTGTTCCAAAACAAACTAGTGTGAATAGCTGCAGTTTTGGAAGCACTTTGATAAGATTGTGAACGAAAGGTCTTGAGCGGTCTTAACTCTATATATTCGTCTCCAAGGCGACTGTAAGAAATACTTGTGAGAATAAAATCGTGAGAATAATTCATTCTGAAGGCAAACCGATGCTAATGTGAGGTCTCAGCAGTCGGAGTAAGCCGTATCAAGAGCATGTTTACAAATCAAGCGTCTCTTTAGCACAAAATCCCCTTTATGTATTAGTCGGAATGTGTTTCCTTGCTAAGCTACTGAGGGTGAACAGCAATACAAAGAGGGAATTTTGTGGTAAAAGGACCATTTCATTTAGAAAATGCAGAATGCCTCATATTAGCTTCCAATGCATTTTATTATGAGGTTTTTCAGGGAACGAGGACTGTGGATCTCTCACATCTCAGTCACACTAGGAAGAGATCGTGTCAGTGCCAGAGGAATGTGGAGTAATAATTATCCAACACATGATTATCTAAACTCTTTTAACAAACATATAGACATATTTGTATTCCTGATATATTGCCTGATAACCACGCTCTTATTTCCTTAGTTAATCCATCTAATGCCATAATCGGAAACCAGCAAGAAAACCCACCTTTGGTGACATAAAGGTAGAAGAAGTCACAGTAGAGGACAGTCTGGACCAATCCGGCCACGATGGCGATCATGTCAAAGAAGCCTTCGAAGTAGAAACGCCAGACCCAGTTGAAGAGATAGAGAGTCCGATACATGCCGAGGCAGAACAGGTAGTGGGTGGTGATGGTCTCCGCCTCGCCGGTCTTGCTGATCATGAAGAGCTGAGGCAAGATAGCCACCGACTCCAGGTAGATGGAGAACGTCCACAAGATCTGATGACAGAAACATGGTCAGGAATTAGGGATGCCACCATTGTGAAGTTCAACATTGATACCAAAATAAATGCTTACAGATTTTTTCCAATAGTCTATGGATTTTTTTTAATTGTTATTTATTCCCATTTTGTGCTAGGGAAACAATGCAATATTTAAAATAACAACTTAGCCGTTTCAAAAGTCACCTGAACTTTTAAAAGAACATCCAAAACATTCATCTGGTTGTAACTTATATATATCAATATTCCAATTACTTGTATATCGACTATTCTGCACAATTTCTATTATATTTTATATTATTTTATTTACTTGCGCTATTATCTGTTTTATTGTGTTGCACTGTGGGAGGAGCCTGTGACCTAAGAATTCCATTGTCTTAACTACACTGTAGCTATGTACGTATGACAATAAAAGCCTTGAATCCTTTATTACACTTGCTTTGATTGAACACAATTCCAACATTTATTAAAACCTCCTTTCAGAACTTTAACAAAGCCTTTTAGCCTGCTATAGAATGACCTACTCAATGAAAAGTTAAAATCAGTGAATCCCAAGAGGAATACCATTTGTTTTATATGCAAATCATACTACAGTAAGTTCAGACTTTTACAGGCATTTACAGCAGGACATCAGTTCCTTTTCAATTCATCCTATCACGCAAAGACTACAGTAGAGGAGGTTAAACCCACCTCCAGAGGAGA